AAAAAAAAAAAGAAGAAATCAAACAATGTATTTATAGCATTGGGAAAATCTGCTGCATAAGACCTCTTGAAAGTGTTGAAGAGCAAAGTCAGTTTGAGGATTAAGGTGCCTCGGATCAAAGCCATGAAATTTTCAGTAACCTCATATGCATATGAAAGTTGGATAGTGAATAAGGAAGATGGTAGAATAATTGATGCATTTGAGTTATGGTGTTGGAGGAGAATATACAAAGTACCACGGACTGCCAAAAGAACAAACAGATCTGTGTTGTAGGAAGTACAGCCAGAATGTTCCCTGGAAGCCAGGATGGCCAGACTTTGTCTCTCATATGTGGGACACATTATCAGGAGGGACCAGTCCCTGGAGAAGGAAATCATGCTTTGACTCCCTTCTTAGCCTCCACCATCAACTCTTCATTGAAAAAGAGTAAATCCCAACAAGATGGATTCACACAGTGGCAGCAGCAATGGGCTCAAACACGGCAATGACTGTGAAGTTGGCGCAGGGCTGGCCAGTGTTTCGTCCAGTTGTGCATAAGACCACTAGCAGTCAGCACTGACTGAAGGGTTGTTGTTGTTGTTAAGTGCCGTCGAGTCGGTTCTGACCCATAGCGACCCTGTACAGGTTTTCCGAGGGTGTAAATCTTTACGGGAATAGAAAGCCTCCTCTTTCTCCCGCGGAGCAGCTGGTATTTTCGAACCGCTGACCTTAAGGTTCGCAGACCGATTCATAACCACTACGCTACCAGAGCTCCTTCATGTAACAATTATTAAGAAAGCATAGAAGAGAGAGAGAAGAAGGGCTGGTTGGTCCAAAATATAGTGAGACCTGGGGACACCTGAGCTTATGGACAAGGACATAGCCATAGAGGACTAGAGCTGAGAGTGAAGCATTCAGCTGATATGAAGAGGTGTCACACAAGAACACCCAAAGTTGCAGATAGTACCCATTTGACCTAGCCTTGATGGCTTGATAATCAAAATTCGACTAGAGAAAGATAAAAAACAAAAACAAAAAAAGAGAACAAAACAAATTTTGATAAAGGAAATGAAGGTAAATTGCTACAATTTGATGAACTTGACCTATACCCATGGAGGTAGTAAATCTAAATACCAACAGAGTGAAGGAGTCTTCATATCAAGGATCAATGCTATCCCCTCACAGAGTAGCTAGGGATGGCAACTTAGACATTGGCTACCAAAAATGAGGAAGGCTACAAAGGCACAAAGTGACTGGCTTACAAGGTTTCAAGGGGGAGCTTAGTTTAAGAGTGTGTGGGGAAAGACAGAGTCCCCACTGAATAGTTTTCATCTTGTCTAGATGGGTCTGGTTAAGAGATGGGGCTAAGATTCTTATGATTCAATAGTGAGTAACATTTATCATGACTAACTGAGACTGTCACAATTGTAAAGGTAGAAGATTTGTAACAAAAACAGGGGAGTGGTTAATCTTACTTACAGTCCAGAAACAAAGGACCCTAGAATCATCAAGGGAAAAGAGCACAAGCGGAATGGGAGACCTTATCCAGAGAAGCAGTGACACCAGAGATGGAGACAGAGATGGGAGCATGGAGAGAGGGAGTAGCTGAGGATTCTAGATTCATGGGAAGTAAGGGACTAAGAGTTGACTGCCAGGAGGCAGACATACAGAATGTGCCCTTTGGTGGTGTAAATTACTGTATAACCTGAGTGTTTAAAAAATAAACAAAATGCTAAAGTGAATAAAGAGAAACTGTCAACTCGTGGTATGGAAGGGATTATAATCATTGTAATGAAACAAGATGTATGATACGATTTGTTGAATGTAAAACTGATGATCTGACCTGTAAACTTTTACTCAATCCACAAAAGAAAAAAAAAAAAAAAGAAAGAAAGAAAGCATGGAGAATTACAGGAAATAAACGAAATTTCCAAACCTAAATACAGGCTTCGCTATCGTTGGTCAAACCGGAGGCCCTGGCTTGTAAGTGACCCTCTGGTGAAGGAAAAACAATACTATGCTGAGAAAATGTACCTGTCGATAGTATGATTACCGATTTTGCATCTACTGGGCACAAAGCCCGACTACAGGTAAATGGCCAGAGAGCTACCCCTGGCCTCCAGGCAGTTGGCGTGTAGCTCACCGCAACGCAGAGACCCCCTCTGTCTCCGCACCGCTGCGGGCACCTCACCCTGAAACAGGGTCAGAGTCGGACACGGAGGGCCAAGGGGTGCTCCGGGAACCTTGGAAGGCTCTGGAGGGCGCGGTGTGACTTACGGCCTCTGGGAAGATTTTGGGGGAGGGGATCCCGTGGGAAGTCAGAAGGAAGGGGGGTTGGGACGGAGACGGCCTCCGGACGCGCACGGTCAGGTGCTCACCCAAACAGCCCTCTCAAGAAGGAGTGGGAGGCTTTGACTCTCTTCTCGGCGTCCGCCATCAACTGCACCGCCTCACGCTCCTTCCCAGCGTTGTCCATGTCGCCGCCAGTATCACAGCCGCTTCAACCGGTTCGCGTAGCACCCACAACGTCTCTCAGCACTCTTGACAGCCTGGGGAGCGCAGGCGCAGTGCGCAAGTTCTGTCGGGAGTTGTAGTCCGCCTCCTACCACTGTGGCGCCAATGCGCGAGTCTTAGACTACATTTACCAGGTGGCCGCAGGATGGCGGTTAGTGGTCCCTAGTTTCGGGACGCGGACGTGACCCACTATAAGAGTTCTTCAATCTTTGGAGAAAGTGGAAGTTGATCCGTGTGTTCTAGTTAAGAAGTCCTGATGTGGCGCTGTGGGTTATAATGCGTCGCACTGAAAAGCCGTTTGAACTGCAAGGTTGATGGTTCAAGCTCACCAGCTGCTCCTTGGACACCCTATACAAGGTCGGAATCGACCCACGGGACTTCACAACAACAACATTCTAATAAAGGGGGTGGGGGGGATACCTAAAACACGCAACACCATGATGGTTCTGGAATCCCTGCTGACAAATGGCAACGAGATGAATGAAGGTAAGGAATAACAGACTGCAAGTCTCAACATAGACACAGATTCCAGAAATTAGACACTGCAAGCAATTTCATCTCCGTGTGATGCCCACTGCCCCAAACTTAAACCTCAACTCGCTGCCATCAAGTCGATTCCGATTCATAGCGACCCTGTAAAGAGTTTCGGCGTCCGTCAATCATTATGGGAGCAGAAAGCCCACCGCCTACCCACGGAAAAAAAGAAGAGAAAAAACTGACTGGAAAATCATTTTTAAAAACTTTTAATTGTGAATTGACTGAAGGTTTACAGAGCAGATCATCATTTTACATTCAACAAATCATATACTTTGCTTCATTACGTGGTTGCAATCCCTCCATGTACTGACGGTTAACAGCATTTACCACTGCATTCCTCCCTGTGTCTCCTGCCACCCCATCTTTCCTCTGCCAACCTCTCTCTGGTTGTATGTTGCCTGCCCAGTAAACAGTGTCAACGCATGTCTACCCTCAAGTTCATGTGTCATTTCCTCTTCCCCCTCAAACCATCATAGATTGTGAAAGCCTTTTTTATCTCCAAGGGAAAGACAGGTAAAATACCTAATCTTCCTCAATAGAAATTCCGAATTATTTTAAATCCCCAAACTGCAACTTTCTGTCAGTCCTCCATTCCTTGGCTATAAATGAGTTATCACTTAATATGCATTATCCATTCTCTATATTGACTGCGTTCTATGCTCTCTAATCTTTTATATAATGTTGGCTCGATTGGTGTTCTAGAACAAAACTCCTGCCTGCCAGGATGATTTCTAATCTCCTAGAAGTATCCATAGATAGATGCAATCCCGTGCCAGATGCAGGCCTGTTCCAACAGTACTGCAATGTCTAGACTGATTATCCTTGGAAATACTAAAGTCAAGGTGATGAAACAGGTATGAACATCACTGCCAAAAATTGTGAAAATTTTAAACTATTGGATGTTAATAGTTTAATAAAATTTTAAACAACTGTGGATGTTGGCATGCAAAATTTAAGAAACAAAGCCTGCCTTTAGAACGCAAGGCAAGAAGGGCCAAGCGCCTAGAAAGAAATAATAACTAAAGCATATGTGTTCCAGATGTGAGAAATAATATCTTCAGGACTAAGGGAAGTAGGCTAGTATAACAAAAGGGGGTGAAGAACTAGTTTGCCCAACTAGGAGCTTTAAAATAAGAATACAACCATCAAGGAAATTGAGGAAGTTCTTAGGGAAAGGAAAGTTTTTAGGAAATTAAATTTAAATGTGAGTGCTTCTAGTAAGGACTAGTAGGAGACCTTGGAAGTAGAATGTGATCTTGTAATACCCGGTGGAAGGAAAACTGGAGGAGGAGCTATTTAGGGACAGGAAAATAAAATTGTTTGTGGGTGGCCATGCAGCGTGTCTGCCCATGTCTGCTGGGTTGGGCTCTGGATTTTGCAAAATCATATAAAGAAAACCTCACTGTCACTAAAATGAGTACAGATTGGATTACTTGAGAATTTGTCGGTATGGACAATGTTTCTCACCCCAGAGTTCATTCATTACAAGCCACTCTCTAAAGAGAGGAAATCTTGGATGTTCATGCAGCACTTACTTACTATTCTTATATGCTTTATTCTAGCTTGAACAAGCTTTGTATTTATTTGTTTGTTTGTTTATTTACTTATTTATTTATGCTGAAAAGCAATTTATTCCATTATAAGCACTTACACAGTTAGTCATGGAGAATAACAGGCCTGCGGGTTAAACAGGTCACCCAAAAGGGAGATGGTACCAAACTAGTGGTCAAGGACTAACTTCTAAAAAAAGCAACTCATACAGGATTAATTTAATTTTAAAAACAAGTATATCAACTATCAATTCACTCTTCTCAACTTATTGGACAGTCTACCCATGGTATAACTGTCAGGTAAAAACACTTATTTTTACAACTTGGTGGTCCCAAGTTAAAAACAAAAACAAAATCAACCACTTCACAGAAGGAAAGAATATGAAATCAGTATAAGAGATACACTAACAAGCAAAAATATATGGGAAAAAAGGAACATGGAGAATAAAGTTTTGACTTAACTGAAGGAATGGAGAGACTGGTGTACACAGGAAAATGTGTATCATGGCAAGTCAGGTGTGAGGATTTTAAGAGTAGTAATCTGTATGACTTGAATCTCCCCTGTTTCCTGAATAAAAACGACATCTTGCAGTATTATACTTCATGGCTCAGACACCTAACTCCCTTGGCTCTATTCCTTCTCCACTCTAGCCTTTACTTAAAATGCCATCTGAAAAACTGGGATTATAGCTTAAAAAGAAAAATAACCACACACACTTCAGACCTGGGTTTGTTTCTAGAAAATTCCTGAAGAAAATTTAAATATAAGTCTGTGGCTTTGCTAAATCAAGTTTCCCAGTTAACATTTAGAAAACATCTGCTGTTTGGATGAATAGCACCATTGATGGTACCTATAGAGGGATAGCCAAACATAGTCTTGTCTCAAAACCAGTGTTATAATTGATCTCTTGGTTGAGAGAAGAAAGGGGAGTCTAAAATCACAAGTACAGACATATCATATCTAGGATCCTTGTCCTTCTGCATCCACACTCCCTTCAGGGTCGTCATCATTATAAATGTTCTCTGCCACCTGCCTCATGCATGATATCTTCTGATACAGAACAAATCACCCAAGGTTCACTGGGATTCCAGGAGAAATCAGATCTTTTGGCACTGTGACCACCATGGATAAACAATGATTCTGGTGGCCCATCTTCTGGGGATTGTAATTCCCTAATTTTACTTAAATCCCAAACATTCAGCCTACGATCAGTACCACTGGAAGCCAAAATGGCTTCATTGTGAGGTGACTAGTGAACCTGGAATATTTCATCCTTATGTGATTCAAAGGAATGCAACTTAAGTTTCAGATTTCTTAGATCCCACAAAGCAACAGTCTTGCCAGCTGATCCTGTGGCAAGAATGAATTCACTATAAGGATTGAAAGAAAAGCAGTTCACTTCAGCAGTATGAGCATCAACTGAATGACTTGGTTTGGAAGTATTATTTGAATGAGTATCCCAGATCATAAGTTTCTGATCATCAGCAACTGACCCAAACAGAGATTCATGGAGCAGATGCCAAGAAACATCTTCAACTACTGCTGTGTGTCCAGTAAAGATGATCTTTACATCCACCACTTTTCCTTCCTTTGGAAGAGCACTGATGTCCCATAGGCAGATGGTGTGGTCATCTGAAGCACTAAGCAAGTGCTCACTGGGATTGGGATTCCAAGAAAGCCCATAGCCTTCCTTTTGATATCCACGGAGGCACAGATCTGGGTTGCACTGTATAGAAGAGTCTAGTTTAGAAGGGTGTTTCTGCAGTCAAAAACAAGGCCATTGCCAGATGGGGTATATAACAGGCCCTGTTTACTTTTTCTTCGTGGTTGATTTCTATCTCAATCTTTTCACTAACTGAGCCAAAACCTCTGAATTCTCCTTTCTCACTGTCATAGTGTGATGCATCAAACTGAGCATTATCATTAGGGAGCTGCACACTGGCTATCACAAGGTGGTTTTGTTCATCTGATGTGTGTGTTCCCAGAACAAGTTGATGAATGCTGAAGTCTTTCCCTTCTGGTCTGGTTACATCTGTAAGCCACTGTGCAGTTAGGCTGGGCCACTAGAGGGCATTGGTCACCACCAAATCATAAAGATTTCCGTATTTTGTACTCCTCGTTCATCACCCAGTTCTTCCACGGGGTCATCAAAGGCTGCTTCCTTGTAGGCCCTGGCAGGCAGGGGGGCAGGAGAGCCGGGAGGGAGCCCAGAGGTTACAGGAGGGGCGGTGGGGAGGCAGCCTGAACATGATTATGCATGATTTTGAAACTATGTGTGGGAAGGAGTTAGAAAACTGTTGTTGTTATGTGCCGTGGAGTCAGTTCTGACTCACAGGGATCCTGTACAGGGTTACCGACGCTGTAAATCTTTACAAGAGCAGAAAGCCTCATCTTTCTCCCGCAGAACAGCTGGTAGTTTCCAGCTGCTGACCTTAAGGTTTGCAGCCTGATTCGTAACCACTATGAAACTGTTGTTGTTGTTAGGTGCCATGGAGTCACTTCCGACTCATAGCGACCTGTACAGGGTTTCCGAGGCTGTAAATCTTTATGGGAGCAGAAAGCCTCATCTTTCTTCCTGTTGTTGTTGTTGTTGTTAAGTGCCGTCGAGTCGGTTTCGACCCATAGCGACCCTGAATAGGGTTTCCGAGGCTGTAAATCTTTACGGGAGCAGATCGCCTCATCTTTCTCCCGTAAGAGGAAAGGTAGAAAAAGTGAAATAAGCATCGAAAAATGGAGCAGTCTGTGTGGATTTAAGAGCATGGGGCCCAGTGGCATCATTAGGGCTTCTATCACGCTCCCCGCCCCCCATGAATTTCCTGCCATGTCTGATCATATAGAATCCTTAGTAATGTTTATTATGAATTTTAATCATAG